ATTCAGCCGCCTGCCGCCTCTGCGGTGACTGCTGCGTGTCTAGGACCCAAGGCAGAGGGACGCACACTGATCTTTTGTCCCCTCCTAAGTGCTTCTTGGAGGTTTGGAATCTTACCTGTGAATGAGGCTCGTGCTTCCTGGGAAGGCCAGAGGGGGCCCGTCTAGTCCTGCTGCTTGGACATCCACATGGATTTTCCTTCTGTTCTCCTAAAATCCTCCCTTCCTGGCAGGTTAAGTGAGTTATTTCCTGAAACCTGTGGGTATTCTGACTCGGTGAGAAAGGAGTCCCTGCTGCTCGCTAAGCTTCCAGACCTGGTGTTTCTGGTGTTTGCAGTCTCTGCTTCCAGCATGTAATTTAGGGTGAAAATTCAAAGGACAGGAAATAATGAAGCAGAGGGCAGCCAGAGAAATCGGTGTGCTTTACTTTTGAGGTGGTGAGGCATGTCGGTCCCCCAGAGTAGTGGCAACACCATATTTCAAAATAGCTTATTAAACTAAAGCATAGACCTTTTTCATGATTTATTTGACCTTTTACCTCATTCCAATTTATTTTTAATAAAGATTTTATTTTCATTTTAAATTACGTGTGTGGTATATGTGTGATATGTATATGCATATGAATGCGGTGCCCTCAGAGGCCAGAAGAGGGTGTCAGTCACCCAGAGCTGGAGTTACAGGTGGTTATGAACCCCTGGAAGTGGGTGAACTCAGGTCCTCTGCAAAAGCAGGAAACAGTCTTAGCGGCTAAGCCCGCTCCCTCTGCCGCCCTGCCACCTAATTCATTCTGCTGGTCACAGACAGGCAGATTTGGGAAAGAGGGCTTAACTCATTCATGTGGAGCACCAGACCCTGTTTCATATTGTAGTACAACCTAGGCTTTGTGTAGAGAGCAAGTGGTTTAAAATAGACTGAATTGAGATGGTGTCCTAGATAGCTTCAGCTGTCTGCTTGGCACACTTGGGAAGAGGGACCCTCAACTGACGAATGGCCTTCACCAGATGGGCCTGTGGGCATGTCTGTGGGCATTTTCTTGTTAACATTTGGAGGCCCAGGCCACCTTGGGTGGCGCTGCCCCTGGGCAGGTGGTCCTGGGCTATCATGAGAAAGCTGGCTGAGCACAGGGCAGGAGAGCGAGCCAGTCAGCAGCCTGTCAGTGTCTCCAGGTTCCTGCCGAGTTCGACAGTCCCCCAAAGATGGACTGTACTGTAAGCCAAATAGACCCTTTCCTCCCCAAGCTGGCTCTGGTCAGTGTTTTATCAAGCAACAGAAAGTAACTGGGCCAGATGCTTTGAGGGGTGTGCGTGCCACCCACTGTTTTAAACCCCGCTTTCTTGTGAGATTAGACTAGCTTGAACTGGCATTTGAATTGAGGTGAAATGCAGTGCAGATGTCAGACCCTCAGGGAATGAATGAGCGAGCGAGCGAGAGAGAGAGAGAGAGAGAGAGAGATCGAGAGCCAGAGCAAGAGCGAGATGGGGGGAGAAAGAGAGAGAGCGCGAGTGAGAGAGAGAGAGAGAGAGAGAGAGAGAGAGAGAGAGAGAGAGCCAGAGCAAGAGCGAGATGGGGGGAGAAAGAGAGAGAGCGCGAACGAGCGAGAGGCATGTGAGAATCCCCCACCTTCGCTGAAGGAGGACTGGCAACAGGCAGCTGCTGGGAGATGGAGAGTTGGTTTTCTCTGTGGCTGTGACATGGCCACATTGACCAGGATGCACGCCAAAGGGCATTTGGGGATACAATCTTGGCTTGATAGGCCTTAATATATATGACAGAGTACATGAAATCTGGCAAGTGGGGAGGGGGAGATGGGAAGACAGGAAAAGGCGTCCGAATAGCATCAGAATGTATTGTATGAAATTTGCAAAAATTCGATAATATTTTATAAAACAGAATGGTAACCCCAAAAGTGGTTACCCAGTGTTGCTCTGTAATTCTAGGAGGATGTGGCAGTGACAGCTGTGGCCAGATACGAAGGGGCAGAGGAGCAGTTTAAATTACTATGACTCTTTCCCTTAAACGAATAGAGTTTTAAAATGAGTCAAATACATATTTTAATTGATAAACCGACTTTATATTCACCTATTGGAAACAGTACAACATATTTTACATCAGATTATGAAATATGGATGTTTTACTAAAAGACAGGAAGAGTTTTCCAGTCTTTAAAGTAAATACATACTCAAAGGATCTTAAGGCGTACCATTTATTCATTTCCATATCTATTGAAATACTGTACAGTCACATACTTCAATAAATAGTTAAAAACCTGACCTCTTTTTTAAATCATTCTGGATCTCAAAAACAATTTTTATTGAAAAGATTAAATAGGTAACGTTCAGCTGTGTTACGAAGCACAGCACAATGGGCAAATTAACCATTTTTTCCAGTAATTTGACCAGCATCATTGATTGGCTTTGATAGTTCAGTTGCTCAGAGTTCTGACCTCACAGATGGGGTATTTCCGTATATGTGTTGTTTGTCCTGAATTATCTGGGTAATTCTTAGTTCTCCAGTCTACTTTCTAGATATAGCATAAATGTTATGATGAATGTTAACTTTTCAGTGAAGTTATGAACCCCCAAAGTGGCCTTATGTCTGAAATGCTCTCAAATCTAGGTGTTTCCACAAAGCACCCAGCACTGTGGTTTGGCAGTACCCAGCTTTACACAAGTGCTGCCCAGTAGGACCTCAATGGTGTAACAGGACTTACGTTCTGAATAAATTCATTGGGAAACATAATCACACCATTTGTCGCTGAACCAAGAACTCGAATGAACATGTTAATTACCCTAACGTATGCTTGTCCCTCTCTCTCTTCCTTCCTTTCTCCTCCCTCCCTCCTTCCCTCTCTCTCTTCCTTTTTCTTCTTTCTTCTCCGGCCTCAACTGCTCTTTATTTTAGTTTCTTCTTTCTTTGAAAAAGAAAATTTAGGGGCAACCAAAAGAATTCCACAAATGGAACTTGTGGAGGACATTATACTAAAATGAACAGTGAAGAAATTGTTGTAGATCAAAAGATAAATCAATTTTATAAAATTGCTATTCTGAAATTGCAACAATCTTGTACAGTCAGGACTGATAAAATGGAGTAATCAGACATTTCGTATGTCCATAAATGTAAAATCATCTACTTGAACATTATATGCAATACATTTACACAAAAAGCAAATACTGTAGCCTTATTTGAACAATATTGAACTCATAAATACTCATGTTTTCACTCTGTCCAGGGGCCTAAGGACTAGGAATGCTGCTGAATACAGAAAAACACAGTGGATACCTCCTCTATTAAAATGTCACTCAAGAAAGTCTCTTCTAACATAAAGGCAAATACACATAGCTACCAAGCTATGACTTTTGTCACAGTCCATGGGAAAAACACCAGACTCCACAAATTCGGAATCATGACAACACTTTGAACTAATTATTTGGTTCATCTGTAGTTTATACCTCAGTTTACCTCACATGTACCCTACACACCTTACACAGAGGAGGTATTTTTAAACTCTAGGAAAACGGTCACTGTATAATACGCATTCTGGATCTTGGTTCTCCCCCCAAACAATGGTATCGATGGCCAACATTTTGTGGTAGCACCACTATTTCTAGTAAGTAGATTATTGTGGAGTGTGCTACTTTAAAGCTGCAATACAGAGAGATTCTGTCGTTTGCTCACCAATTCCACAAAGAACACTTTTAGAAGCAAATAACCTGTAACTTTAAATGCCATAATTTGCTTCAAAACTCACTTTTAATAGATCAGTCAAAATGTCAGAAATTTATTACAGCTAGTAAATCTAATAGCATCGTGCCATATTATTGCCATGTCCTGGGAAGACTATATATTTACATCCCCTCATCTAGGGTTCGTTTTTCTAATTAAAATAGATTTATGGTGTCTTTTGGGTCTAAATTTTATTAGGGGAAAAAGAAATCACGATTTTCAAGCCATCCCTTCTTGGGTAAAATTTTAGCTATCTGAAACAATCCCTGTAAAAGGTCTTGTGTCTAATTTTAGGAGTAGGGTCTCTGTTGTTAGGGTGTGCAAAAGGTCACTGTAGAAATCTAGGTGTGCTGAAATCGGCAACTTCATCAGACCTGTAAAATGGCTTTCAAGGCTATGGTCTTTCTTTGGTCAGAAGTCAGACCAGCAGCCTATTCCTGTAGTATAATAGACTAACAGCATTTTCCTTCAAAAATGTAGTTTTGTTCTTTAAATAGAAAAAAATGCAATATTCACAATCATTTAGTTAATGTATCCTGTGATATCCTCCTCATCGGGATCTCACGTTCATTTGATTATGTCTTACATGTGTCATGTAAGATGAAGTAAAGCATGGTGATTCTTCGTTTTTGGCATCACTTTGAGCTGAAATGACTATAGACAAAGATTCTGTTGAAGAATTAGTTACTGCAGGGCTGGATTAGCTGCATACTGCTACATGATATTTGTTAAAATACATTTTGGAATTTTAAAAAATATAACATGCATTCCTATCAACCGATGATGTTTTCAGATGGAAAATAATGCACAGTCTCTGTCACACTGACTTACTGATCACAAAACCAGATCAATTTTGAGTGCTTACTGCCCTGTGTAATGTCAGGCAATAGGACTCTGGGTCCTTTATACAAATCATCTCAGAATTTTGACTTGTAACAGTGATAGAAGGTTGCTGTGTTACCAGGAGTTTCCAGGAATGGGCACTTTAATGCTTTTTCTTTCTCACAGTGGAGCTATTTAACTTCACCCATATGCCACACTTGCTATACTCTGTTATTAAATTGTTTTTATCATGAAAACTAAATGAAGGAATTCAGCCCAACAGCTCCTTGGTTCTGAGATACTGGGAGGCAAAGTTCTCAGACCCCCTTGGTAATGAAGGAATTCAGCCCAACAGCTCCTTGGTTCTTCAGAGACAGGGTAGGGCTTAACTTTATCTGTGTAGTTTATTTTTGTTTCCAAATTGTAAGATTGAGCAAAACATTATCTATTCACTTTTTCTTTCTCACAGTGGAGCTATTTAACTTCACCCATATGCCACACTTGCTATACTCTGTTATTAAATTGTTTTTATCATGAAAACTAAATGAAGGAATTCAGCCCAACAGCTCCTTGGTTCTTCAGAGACAGGGTAGGGCTTAACTTTATCTGTGTAGTTTATTTTTGTTTCCAAATTGTAAGATTGAGCAAAACATTATCTATTCATCGGAGACAAAGAGAAAAGACTAGTCGATGAAGGCACACCCATGCTGGACTGACGGGGAGGGAAGCAGAGCCACACAGCAGGTCTATTACAAGGCTCACTTCTGAAACCTGGATGTTGTGTGAGCAGAGACATCTAGATATGTGTTTATTTTGAAGAAATGATCTGAAGGCAATATTATTTGCTCTTTTTATCAAAAAAGAAAAGAATGCATCTTGTAAATGTGGACTGACTCGTATTGAAACAGGGCACTGAACACTTGTATTGCAGCCTTAAAGAGTCACGTTTTCACTGCAATATTCGATTTTGTAAACTACAGTCTGCAACCCAGCAGACCATGACTGAATGCCTTTGAAAAGTTGTAGATTACAAACATGAAATCACAATTAATATCCTCTAAAAGTAATTTCAGAGCTTTCACGTCTTAAAAAAGGACAATATGTATGCCTCACAAGGTAATGCGGCTAATCAAAAGGAGAGTAGAATTAAAGTATTTACACAACGAACGATTCCACAGAAGTCATCCCGTGTAAGCTGATTACATCCCACGCTGCTTTTAACAAATGGTACCAGATTGGATCCAGCCATCAGCACTTTCAGAGACTCTTTAAAAGCCATTTACGGGTCTTTAAATTCATTGTAGGATGGCATTCTTCAGGTAGAAAGTGCTGGTGATGGCAGAGAGTGTCAACACAAGGTACCCGCAGGAGGAGAGGAGGCCAGCCCTTCCGGTAACTCCATACTGGGCTGTACTTGGAGCTGGAAAGAAATGGAAAAGTTTAAATCAAAATCTCATGCCTGTATTTCATGAACTTGACAACATTGGACAGGCAGCTGGATAGACTGGGGAGAATCCGGCTTTGGGGAATTAGGTTCATATCTGATTTGGCTCTTGGGACATGGGACCAGCTGACTCAACCCTGAGGTTTGGTTTTCTGGAGGAGAGAAGAGAAAGGTGCAATCCACCTGGCGTGGTGAGCTGGGATGAAGCAGGGATAGCACATCACCCTGGACCAGACATCTGCTGATCACTCAACAAACGACCACTGACATTGTCTTTTTACATGTATTGTAAATATTCGCACTCCTAGGCAATGTTCACTCATGCATACGTTTGTAGAGCTTTTGCTAATTAGCCAAATACTGTATTCAATGATGGAAAAAGAGGTTTTCTTTACAAAGAATTTGTTTTCTCTGTGTGTAGGAAAAGATACTTAAACAATAATAGAATACTCAGAGTGTTAGACTTGCATATACAAACCCTAGTGATGGAAAAACAGTCACATGAATCTGCCTGGGCAAAGCAGGGAAGATTTTTTTTTAAAGTTTTACGGAAGGGAACTGACATTTGGATACAGGGACTAACATGGTGAAGGCATGAGGTAAAGAAAGCAGGCTTGGGTCTAAAAGTAGATTGTCTTGCTAGGTCAAGACATTTGAGGCCGGAAGGGGAGGGAATTAAACCAAAGCCTCTGGCAGATAAAATGACCTGGGTTATAATCCAAACGGTTTACATTTTGATAGTGAAGGATGGTTTGAAGAGTTTGAAGCAGCCAAATGTGAAACTGCAAAATCTATGAGAGAGCACAAGAAGACTCTTCAAGTTCATCGAGCTTAGCATGTGCCTACGGCCCACCAAGAAACACCCAGTTTCATCCCTATATCCATAACTCAGATCCAGGAGCAGTTTCAGAGGGAGGCAGTGAGTTTGAATGACCAGCGGGTCACTTCTAATGAATGTTTCAAGATGCCGTAACAAGAAAACAGAACACCAGGTAGGACAGAAGTACACACTGAAATCGCAGTCTTTGATCAAATCGTTCACCTGGGCGTTACTTGGACATTTTTCTATGTCCAGGCTTCTCTCAGGAAATACAAACACGAGTGAATTATGAACTGCTGGTAGGTGTTTGTAGGTCTCTAAGAAAGTAAAGCTGAGAGACGCACTAGCCTTCATCAGTCGGGAGATTTCTTGATGGAGCAACTGTTGATTCTAGCTGAGTAGGAATCCAGCCCTGAAGTTGCTATTTTTAATAAACAGCAAGAGCAGCTTGGAATGCACGCAGGTGCGTCAAGTCGAGGTTGTAATGGACACTGGAGGAGAGTAGGCCTGCAGCTGAGAAGACAGCCTTCTCAGTGTCTGGGGCCTCAGAAATCCAATTCAAAACACTGTATTATCTTCATTTTATGTGTATGAGTGCATTGCTGGCATGTGTGTAAGTGCACCAGAGTCGTGCAATGCCCACAGAGGTCAGAGGAGAGCGCTGGATCCCCTAGAGCTGGAGTCAAAGACGGTTGTTAGCCGCCATGTGGGTGCTGGGAATCGAACCTGGGTCCTGTGCAAGAGCAGTCAGTGCTCTTAACCGCTGAGCTGTCCCTGCAGCCCCCAGAAATCGAATTTAAAATCACAGACTTCCTTATTTTCTCTTGACAAAGGCCTAGAAGGATATTTTAAAAAATATGTTTGTCAATAACTGTTTCAGGGCTTTTTTTTAAGAATCTTGAGTGGAATGAAACTAGTTTAATAATGAAGGCACAATTATGAAAAATATAGAAAATGGTTTTCTAAAAGTATTTGAAACTAATGGCACAACACAAAGGTTATTTTTATTTTTCTTTAAGAACCCAGAAGACTTCTCTGCTCACCTGCCTTTAACCTGCCTATCAGAGCAGCTTTTCTAAATCCCCACACCCGTAGAAGCTGTGACCGTCCTGCTTCCTCAGACCTTCACGTCTGTCCCCCTCAATGTCGCCTTACTCTGTGAATATGTGTTCCTACGTTTGTTTCTAGCACCAGCGTATAATACATTTCTGTTCATGTTTCCTGATACAAATTCTGGACACATATTAACTGCTCAAGAAATGATCAAGTGAGCAATTCGATTAAATCTAGAATTTGCAATTTTAACACGTGCTTCTGTCCTACAAAACTGGCATTCTTCTGAGGCAGGACACATGCCTGCTTCTATCCTAGGGTGTGACTGACACCCGTCCCTTCCTTCATTCAGTAAGGGTTGTTGCTATTGTTGTTGTTTTGCTTTTTGAAAGAGTCTCCCCATAGTCCCATCTGGCTTGGAACTCACTATGTAGACCAGGCTGACCTCGGTCTCAGAGATCTGCCTCTGACTCCTGAGTGCTGGGACTAGAGGCGGGCCACTGTGCCTAGCAACGTAGCACATTTTTATTGAACTATCTCCCAAGAAAAGTTCTAAGTGCCTGGGATGCTGATGGTTAGTAAAATAATATGGTCCTGTTACTTAATTCCACAATGGACATCCCCATATAATGTGGTCGTCTGTTATTTAAATCCACAGTGCACATCCTCATACAATGTGGTCTTCTGTTATTTATGTCTGCACATCCCCATAAGAGGTGGTCCTCTGTTTAAGTCCACACATGCCCATACGATGTGGTCCTCTGTTGCTTAAGTCCACACATGTCCATACAATGTGGTCCTGTGTTACTTATGTCAGCACACCCCATACGATGTAGTCCTGTGTTACTTATATCAGCACACCCCATACGATGTAGTCCTGTGTTACTTATGTCAGCACACCCCATACATGCTCCTATTTTGGCATCTGTCCCGATGTCATTTCTTTCTAATGCCTTATCTCTTTTCATCTCACATCTCTTTTTTTCTCTTAAACATGATATTTTCACTAGCATATTTTAAAATTGACACTAGCTTACAATGAAAATCGTATATTTCAAAAAATTCCACAAATCAATGTAGCATTTATTTATTTATTATTTATTTATTTATGAATGGGATAATAGGATTTTAGCTCTAAAGTAAACCAGAAGTGACTGCCTCCGTGTCACCAGCAATTATTAGAAGCAGTGGATTTCAGAGCAAGTATGGACAATCGGTTAAAAAGAGATAAAGAAAAGCAGAGGGGGAGGTCTTATTCCCACTGGCTGAACCATCTGCCACCATTTAGACTCCCCAACTGCACATGGAACATCTTCAATTCACAATATACAGACGAAGATGCATGAACTCAATCCCCTCCTTCAACAAGAACTCACCCTGGAGCTGGAGAAATGACTCAGCTGGTATGTGCCAAGCTCGAGGACTTCAGTTCAATCCCCGAGACCCTCATGTACATGCAAAAATACAGGTGAGTGTACAGTCAGAGGGCTTCCTAAAAGGCACCACAGGAGACTAGTTCAGGCAATAGATACCAATCCACCTTGTACAAAATGCGATGGCGTGGTCTATACATTTTAGTACTTATGTATACCTGGCTGCATGCAGACTCTTGCTGCAACAGGCCATCGCCACAAGGGTTTGCTCTCACTGACTGACATTCACCAAATATGATTTTCTTAGGTCTGACTGTTGAACTGAGTGTTTGGAAAACCAGTCCAGTGTTATTAAAGATATGGATTTGGATTTGGTTAGCATGTTAAAACCCACTTCACCATCGCTGTAGGAAATTAAACAGTCTTAAGATATTATCAGAAATGAGCTTCAAGACAGCGCATGTTGTTTAGGAAAAAGCCTCAAGCCAAATGAAGCAGTCTTTCTCCATAACACTTAGAAACCTGTAACATCATATTTGTGCGTCCTAGCCTGATTAAACCAGAAATGTGTTGAGGCCAGGATCATTACATGTATACCTACGTGTGTATCTTTTATATTTAGTGCTGATTGCAGAGTACAGTACTTAGCAGCTGGTCAGCTAGTGTTTACTGAATGACACGTGCTCCGTAGCCATTCGGCCCACTCTGAAGCAAACCACGGGAGGGGGAGGCATACACCTCGGCTTCCTTTGCAGAACACTCGTTCCTCACCCACACTGGATCTGCCCTCCGGCCCACCTCCCTTCTCACCGACCCTGGAATGCCCTATGGGACTGACACAGCGTAGATAACACAAGGGGATGCTCAGGCTGTCTTCTGTGGGCCTGTGCAGGGACACCGCCCTCCTTCAGTTGGAGCTTATCACACAGGAGTGAACATCCTGCGCTCGATAACAGATTCTGCTGCAGAAGACAGTGAGCGCAGATGAGCCTGAAGGCCATTGGGTCACCCCGTGCTGCTGGGACACAGGGGTGCTGAGGCTGTGTTTAGTCATGGGAACTAGGGTACTGGCGGTCACTCTCAGTAAGAGGAGAGAGGTCATGTGACCAGAGACTGAGCTGGGCCATCTCATTCTGCCCAAGGTGAGAAGCCATGGGAGAGTGTGATCTTTCAAAATGGCGACTTAGTCCCCTGTCTCCATAGCACTTTCTGCCTAGCCTGACAGGCCTTCTACAGAAGGAGCACATTTTTACCTTATTCTTAACAATTCTATGCGCTCAGTTCTTTTTTGACATCCTTTAGCCGCTGGACGCCTGGCTAATCTCCTACTGTGGGGGTATAGCGGGTTCTTGCTGGTTCTCTCCATTCCTTGTTTGTGGTAGGGAATAGCATGGCAGGGTGTTCAGAGCAGCCAGAGGCTGAGTGTTTCTCAGGCATGGAGACCAGCACCCTCACCCCAGCCCGCCTTCTGTACAGTGCGAGCCTCTGGGTTTTCTCCATTTTCAACAGAAGATCAGTCTATCTCTCATCCTGTCCCATCCTGATCATCACTCCAAGTCCCCATCAGCTGCTCCACAGGATGCTCAGCCCAGCAGTATTCTTGCCTATCGCTCTAGAGTTTATTTTTAGGCAGGAGCAAATATAACTGAAATATTTAGTTTTGGTACAATACCAATTGCTCGCCCAGGCAATTTCCCTAAATCACTCATGTTTTAACCAAACTAGCTTTG